CCTCAAACCCCTCGAAACTTGCCAATGGTTCTGCCATACTGGCAGTTGGAGCAGCCAGCTTGTGGATTCTGGACGCTTCAGACGTTTCAAAACCTCGCACTTGCTAGACTGTGGGCTCTGGGCTCTGTGCTAGACTGTGGGCGCAGTTGCGCAGACTGTGGGCTCTGGGCTCTGGCTGCCATGGACGCTCTGTTGGAGGTGCCACTTGCTGGGCTTTGGCACACCATTTCCCTTTTTCTCGTGGTCCGCAACGGCCCCTCTGGGCTATTTCTTGCCTATCGTCTTCTGCACGTTCTTCTTTTGGTCTTTCACCTTTCCAGCGCTGACGTAAAACCGGTTGCCGCACACTGTCCGGTGATCAATTTGTCCCGTCGTGACATTGCTTGCGACCAGGCCACCACAATGCGGGCATGTGTACTCATGCTTTTGCTTTTCATTGACTTTTCCATCACTGACGTAAAACCGGTTGCCGCACACTGTCCGGTGATCAATTTGTCCCGTCGTGACATTGCTTGCGACCAGGCCACCACAATCCGGTGGTGTGGGACCAGCACTACCCGTGAACAGGTGAGAACTCCCGGTTCTATCACGCCTTTCGAACTGAAGACTACGTGGGCCGTCTTGCCTCCCTAGCTGCCCAATGTAGCAAAAATGCATTGGAAGGGGCTCTTCTCGCTCGCTTTCACCTGGGGCCTCTTGTCTTGGAGTTTTTTTGTTGAATATGCTATGCCCATTAATCTAGGTGCGGGTTATTCCATGCAATGTTGCTTCTGACCCGCACGATTTGGATCTGAGGCTTCATTCAAATAGGGGTCGGCGGCACCCGGGCGGAGCCCTTACAATATATATATATATAACTATATATATATGTATGAATAGGCAGGAATCTGGAAATGAAGAAGTGAGGCTTGATTCAGTGCCACCCAAGCATGGAACAATGTCGATGTCTATAAGTAAGTCTATGTAGAATCAAAAATATCAAGAAGTAGGCTGAGAAGAAGCGCGTGATGATTCTTATCAACCGAAACTCCTGCAGCCACAGTGCAACGCTTCTTTTACGCACCTCGGCAAATGGTCCAACCTGTTCTGCAGCAGCTGTAGCATTTCCGAGCGACGTGGGGTCCTCGCACCAACCAGCTTCGCAAATCCTTTTGGTCTAATCCCATGGAGTTGACGAACATCCTTTCCGGGATCTTGCAGGTCCTTCCATCCCAAGTTCTCGCTGCAGGGAAAATGTCAGAATCCGAACATCTCTGGGCACCGAACATCTCTTGGTTCTCAAAAGGTCTTGTGAACAAAAAATCTCGTAAAAACCTGCTCTTTGCTCCCAGAACTGGGGCATCGCTACGAACGGAGCAAGGACGCTACTAGGGGCTCCTGGCCTTGCTACTAGGAGCAAGAAGCTATTAGGGGCTCCTGGCATCGCTACGAACGGGGCTCCTGGCATTACTGAACTCGCCGGAACGAGCATCCCACGCTAGCAAGCTCTGGCAACGAGCTGAGGCACGTCATGCTGAGCTCCATCGTTTGAGGCTGTAACCAACGGTGTCCTCGATACTTACTTTGCAACTCGAAAGCTCTGCAGTCTTAAAAAGTTTTGCAGTACCTTCCTACATTTTGAAACCTAAAACTTCGCATCAAGTGCTTTGGAACCTATCCTTTTCTCGCTCTCTTCGCCTGTGTGCTTTGCCTCTCGAGTCTCGCCCAGCAAATACGCTTGAAATCGTTACGAGTCGAGCTGCGACACAACGCCCAGCTCCCCAGCGACCGTCTCGGCGACTGCACAGTCTGACCACGTCTCGTTGTTCTGGGCTCCGAGAAAAAAGAACTCAGGAACCCATAGGAACTCCTCAGGGTCATTATACTTTCGATGGGGTATAAAGAGGTCCAGGTGCCCGGACTGCGTCCGACACCGTTGGTGAGGAGGACGAGTTAGATTCTATAAACAACCATGTTTGCCCGTTCAGAAACCCAGGACAGCATGAAAAATGGTCAGTTACCAGCATTCATGAAAAAATAGCTAAGCCTGATTGGACCTCTCATGTCATTCTCAGTACAGTAAGTCTGTCAAAATCAAACTGACAACCAGGTACATGATGCACACAACTGCTGATCTCATGAATTGTAGGGCTATGCAAGCTGGATGAACAAACAGAGATAAATCTGTCACATGGACTGTCGGGCAAGCCTGGAACCAGCAAAGGGATCGGAGGGACCTATGCTCAAAGTTCAAAGGAACGGAATGAATCGAAAAGTGAAACCGTCTTCAGAGGAACTGTCTTCAGAGTCGTGTCGATCATTGGCGGACTTCTCTCTCTCTCTCTCTCTGTTACACATGCAGAGTTATATATACATACATATGAATTATATATATATATATGTATATTTACTATTTGTACTGTACTGTATGTATATATATATATAGTTAGATATACATACAGTATATATATATATATACATACAGTATACTGTATACTAGTGGATTCTCTTCTTACGCCGAGTGGCCAGGGCCGAGCCGGGCCTCAGGGCCACAGACGCCGGGCCAAGCATCACGTCACCGTGCGGCCACAGCACCAGGCAGCAAAGCGATTTGACGTGGTCGGAAGATCTGCATTTGGGCGAAAGTTTACATATTTCATCAGACGCTCACTTTCTGAGGCATGTAAGTTGCCGAACTTACTTGCAGAATCGATCACTCACTGGAATATAGATCAATTCTGATCATGGTGTATTGGATTCTTGAGCTTGCAAGAATGAGCGACCCGACCGCGTGCAGCATAAGAGGCTCGGATGAGCCAAGCTTTTTACAGGCGCTAAAGCATTGAACAGTGCTGCGACCTTTTCAATCGATTGATCATAAGGCGTCCATCACTGAACCCGTGCAACAATCCAACGCTTGTTTGGCAACTGTCCAATAGCCAAAGCGTTCGGCATCTGCAAATGTGCCTATTAGACGAGGAGCTGCCGCACTCGCAATGAGAGGGTGCACATCCGCACTTTGATCACTTGAGGACAAACAACGCAGTGGTGTGGGGGTCTAGGAAGGAGCTACGTCTTGAGCTCAACACCGGAGCAGCCACAGCTGGCCAGCCGCCTCATCTAATTCCATGCACTGCCCTTAATTGTTCGCAACCTCGCCAAAAGATTCCATGACATATGAGAAGAATGAGAAAAAAACGGCTCTTGGAGAAAGCTATATGTCGATGACTGCTCATCGGGATGTGGTTTTCCGCTAGAGCTTCAAGCTTCCCATAGGTCATGCTATGCTGGAACGGGCGTTCACACCTGCACTTCCTCAAGATTGTTCGAGTGAGGCTCCTCAACCCCCGCCACCCGCCCCACCGCCGTATTTGTATAAAGGTGACTAAGACCTCCTAACCGTTCCGAAACCATCCATTTTGACCTCATTTGAAGCTCCTCTTGGGGTCTGGATTTCAAGGACAAGTCGTGAGAAAGTCGGCACTTATATCTTTTAGCAAAGGTGGTTGTACTTAGCTCATGCGCGTATTAATTATGGTTGCATGATGGAAACATATATACAGAACACGGCAAAATGTTCGCTTGTGCTCTGACCCACACCCACACCATCCACATCACTCACATCACTCACATCACTCACATCACTCACATCACTCACATCACCATCACTCAATAACCAGGCTCCACCCACATCCCAAAACCACCAACACTTACAGAGCATCTCTTGGCAGCTCCACAAAAACGCCTCACATCAAGAAGGCCTGCCACACCCTGGCCATCCTTCCGCCTGGCCTGCGCCTAAACATCCTCACGGCAGTTCTTGAAGCCCCAGCGCCGAGACCAACGACAGGCAGCCTTCTGACCTGGACCGGACGGCTTGAAACGGGATAGAGAGATTCTCCAGAATGAAGCAAACCAATTGATTGGGATGTGTCGAAACTCCATCAATTTGGGGACCCCCTGGGCCACTGGCACCATGTTTCTCTGCAAATACCCTTCTTTTCTGCATCCACATGAAATCATCCCTCCAAAGGAACAGACTCATGGACTGCATCGGCTGATCCGCCCGATCTTTTTGGCACTGCGCACACTGCCACTGGGAGGAGCACTGTGCGTTGCACCTGATGACACAAAAAAAACAAGCAGCTGATCAGGTTTGGTCTAAAACCAATGGCAATGCACAATAGGCTCCCTCTGATCATGTTTTGCCAAACGTTGTCAAACTTTGTCCAACCGCCGCAGTTCCATCGGAACTTCCCATCCGGGCCCAGCCATGTTCCCAAAGCGGTGGAGACCTGTTCCTCGGTCTCTACATCCTTGTAAACCTGTCCCTTTCCACCCGGGGAAGCAACGCAATGAAGAAGCAACCCTTCTGTGCGAAAGACCAATACGAGCCAAAGCTGTGCTGAAGTTCACCACACTTGGACGGGCTTCAGGGCTGCGGGGCTTCGGGCTTCTCGCTTTGCAAGGGTCCCGATCGCCCTGCCCGGCAGGATTAAATATGGCCAGGATGAGAACCAAGTCACGCGCACGGACACAAAAAGACTATGAAAACCATGGTAAGAAGTCGCAATGAGAAGGGGGCGTTGACCAGGTTCTACCCAAAAAGGACACCATCCTGGCGGATTCCAGCAAGTGGATTCCCACACCTTGACCAACGCTGCCGTTCGAGTGGGGTGTTCCCATGTCAGGTGGTGTCTTGAGATATCCATCCAATCACTTTTTAACTCCTAGGCTGCAAATACAGCAAAAAATGCCAAGTCCCTGGAAGACCAGTCTGGTTGATTGGGGGCATCGGTGGTCAGTTTAGAATGCTTTCTGCGGAATCCACCTGCACTCAAACCATGTTCCAGCATGTTCCAGCCAGAGGTTGTGGAGTGTTCCAGCATGTTCCAGCTAGTTGCTGGGGATCTTTTTGTTTGAATCCCAAATTAATGAGGAGAAGCTGTTTGACGGGGCTGCGGAATGAGAAGGTGACGCCCTGCGCCTGGCCTTTTTGAGAGCTGGGTTTTCTGACCAGTGAGCCCTGCGCCCACCAACGCCAGGTTCGTTCACGGTATGTAGCTATGCGAAAAGCCCGTGCAAATAAGCTGAATAACAATGGCAAGTGCGGCTCTCGTGTCTAAGTGGATTCCATAATTGGACTCATAGCCACGAGACGAATGGCAAGTCGAAACCAAATGCCTAACACTCCTCAACTGTACCCCTACCGGCTTTGAATTCACGGGCAGGCAGACTTTTTGTGTGGTGCACGCCGTCCACGTACCTGGACCAATTGGATGTCCAGAGGCGATTCGATTCTGGAAGAAAACGAACATTTGAAATAACACTGACTGATCAACAGATGGACAGTTCAAGAGAAACTACTCCCAAGAGTATCCTTCATGTATCTTCAACATCTCTGGGGAACCCCCTCTGATCGACTCCTTCAACATCTTCGATGCCAATATTGAGGACAAACCATTTACACCAAGTCCCTCCCGGTCCGCCAACGGTTACAGGGCACCAATGCCGTGTCACAGGCACCCCTATCTTGCCTGGCGAGCCGGGTGCGTTTGTTTCGCGGATCCGATCGACCTTCATCACTGACGATCAGATGTTCATCAGTTGCCTGAAACATACGTATATACCTCCCTTGGAAAGCTGATCTATTTCATCTGTCAACATCGCCCTTCCTCCGCCAACCTGAGGCCATGCCACCATCCCTAGTCAAAATGACATTGGCTTGGTTGGTGGGTCAAATGCTCCGTTTTGGCCCTCATCCAGGAAACAACCATCTACCCAGGCAAAACACGAACTGCCCAAGCACACTGCCTCCCATGCCCAGCCCATCGCCTTTCTCAACATTTCGTGTGAGCTTTCCTTGACTCCGTCGCTCTTGGAAGGTCTGCCGGTTCTTCTCCTGGGTCGGGTGAGTCGGGTGAACGAGCTGAACTCTGAACGAGCTGTCGATTCGTATTTAAAGTGTGTGTGTGTGTGTCACACTCTGTCCTGAAGAGTTTTTGTTAAGTGCAGGGGGACGGGTCACCACCGATACTGCCCGTCCAACGAAGAGGGTATCGGCTGGTGCTGAAGCAGTGGAGGACGCTCCACTGTGTACCCAATGGTCCGCCCTGGGGCCCTGCCGCTGTTCGTTGCTTCTCTGGTTTTTTTCATGATACTACCCCCCAAACCATTTTCTTGAGCCGCTTTCAGCTGCCGCGCATCTGCAGACAAGTGAACACTTTGTTAAACTTTCCAAATGAGCTGACTTCACCACCTTGCGTTTCCATCGTCCACTTCATTGAGGAACAAAGTTAACTGCAAACCCATCGTCTAAGTGTGTGCCGCTCTGTCGTCCCACTGGGTGCAGAGTGTGACCCTCTCGCAAGAAAGGCGCTGAAGCCACTCGACTACCGTGTTTCTGACTCGAAGTGCAGCCATCGTGGATTCTGGCTTGATGAATTTTGTTTCACCAAATGAATTTCCTGCCACAACACTGCCGAGTTTACGGAGATTCGACAACCGCTGGGTTTACGGTCATATATATGTGCCACACACACCAAAAAAAAAAACTTGCACGCGAATTCACACTTTTATCCCACCGCTTTCTAGGGTAACAGAAGGAAATTGTACTCGACACACTTGTGTGTCGGTGCCTTTCCTTCTGTTTCTCCTGTCCTAGTCCTATCTACCCGGGCGGTTTAAGACTAATGTCCCGCTCGCTAACTAGTGCACCTAATTAAGCACCGCTAAGTAGTCAGTAACCAGTTTTTGTTGAAGCCTTCTGTTGATCGGACCCAGCATTTCTTGCCATTCCCTCAAGTTAAGGGCCAAGTATTCAGTAACTAGAGTGCTAGGCAGTCAGTAACTAGAAGGCTTCGTAACTAGTGGACCTCGTAACTACACCTATCTTTCTCTCTTGCCCTTTGCGCTTCTCTTTCTGTCTTTTCTTTTCCTTTCTTTCTGAGGCTTTTTAGGTGGTTAGTATTTTTATTTCGAGCGCCGATATCGGCGCTCTGTGTGTGTCACATTCTGTCCTGAAGAGTTTTGTTAAGTGCAGGGGGACGGGTCACCACCGATACTGCCCGTCCAACGAAGAGAGTATCGGTTGGTGCTGAAGCAGTGGAGGACGCTCCACTGTGTACCCAATGGTCCGCCCTGGGGCCCTGCCGCTGTTCGTTGCTTCTATGGTTTTTTTCATGATACTTCCCCCCAAACCATTTTCCTTCAGCCGCTTTCAGCTGCCGCGCATCTGCAGACAAGTGAACACTTTGTTAAACTTTCCAAATGAGCTGACTTCACCACCTTGCGTTTCCATCGTCCATGTCACTGAGGAACAGAGCTAACTGCAAACCCATTGTCTAAGTGTGCGTCCATGTGTCCAGTTCTCCAACAAGAGCAGAAAGTAGAACCGAAAGCCTTCGATGAACCATAGAAAATATAATCATCGTCCTTCCTCCCTGAAGAGTACAGACATCTTTCCGCCAGAACGAAGAACAACGGGGCTCGGAGCTTTGAAAGACGGAGCTTGAAGGTCAAATCCCAAGCTTCACTCCAGATCTGGAATCTGGAATCTGGTCCGCTCAAAAGACCCAAACCCCGCTTGCAAAAAGCTTCGTTCATTTGACTCCATTTCTTGAGACCCGCCGGATCGCAGTTCTCGATCTTCTGCTCCTGACGATGGAAGTCACTCAGCCAGCGTTTCCCGTGTTCGGACTGCGAAAAATTCCTCAGCCAACGGTTCTTGGGATACCTGTTGGTCCAGGCAAAGGAACTCACACCCGTCTCCATTGATTCTCTCTGAAAGAGATGGCGTCCGTGTCTCCAGTCCTGGTTATTCAGGATTGCCTGGGAGAGTAGTGCATCTTTCCTCGGAGAGCAGAGGGACTCACCCTGATTCATCACCCAAACTACAAAAAGCTACTACGCAAAGGGAAGCGCGTCAAAAACACAGTAGCTAAAATTTCAACCTGCAGCTTGTTCGTTACTGGCAGCCATGCTGGCCGATTACCAAAACCGGGCTTGGTGAATCTTGGTGATCACTTCGGCAAGGAACATGTCTCGTCCATCTTGGGAATTGGAAAACTAAGGAGTTGGACATGTTAAAAGCTTTGCTGCCCGGAAAGCAAATGCAAACGGCATCAATTGCAAGCATGTTGAAATGCCAGAAACCCACCAAAAATAACCTCAGGCAAGCAGCACTTTCTTGTGGGGCCCGCGCTGCAATTGTTTCACTCGTAGCACCATGTCCGTATCTTGGCAACCCATTGGCTCCGCATCCTGCAGGTGAGTGCACCCGGTCCCAGGACTACTTGGATGAGTGGGCAGCCAGTGGGGCACCAGGAAAACGGTGGGAGAACACATGCAAACGGATTGAATGATTGACATCACCGCATGGTTCGTGGGAGATGTTGGGTGGAAGGTCTCGGATTCTTCACGGGGGGACCGCGCAAAAACCACCTCACGGAGGGCAGAGCCATGTTACCGCGCCTCGTCATAGCCGCCTAGCTCCCAGAAGACCTGGAAGAACCAATTGAAAAAAACATTGATAAACTACTAGCTTCTTGTTACTACTAGTAAGGCACCTGTTACTACTAGC